TGCGATTCGGCGTTTTCGTTAATCTCGTAGGCCTGAGCCTGATGGTGTCCCAGTGAGCATTCTAAAAGCGGATGCAAATGCAATTTTTGCATCCCTCTTATGCATGATATTTAATTTCGCCCTTGAAAATAAAACCTATCCGACTTCGTGGAAGGAATTAAACATTGTGCTCATTCTGAAGCATGGCCAATCTGTGTCATTTGACGACTTTCGGTCAATTAAAAACCTCCCGGCATTTTCGAAGATCTTATAGACACTGACCAAAGAGAGGATGCTGTGTCACTTACCAGAGAATAACCTACTGGGCGCTGCACAGCATGGATTCCTTAAAGCTGGGTCTTTTGACATCCATCAACTCTCTTTCTTTGACCATTTTTTCCTATCTAGGGACAATTCTTTTGCACTTTACACAGCCTATTTCGATTGCACTAAGGCTTTTGTTCGTGCTGACCAGGCGAATTTTCTCTTGAGATTGTCCACTTTCGGCATAGGTGGCAAACTTCTGAATTTTATATCCTCTTACCTGGGCGCTCGTACAGAACGAGTTAATATTTCCAATGCTATCTCTAACCGCATATTCAGGGTAGTGTACTCGGCCCGCTTTTATTTTACCTCTTCTTATACGGTGTGCCGGATCTACTTCAGAATGGCAAGCCCTTCATGTATACCGATAATCTGAAAGTTGCATACAGGCATAAGATGGCAGACTGTGACATCGTGCTCGAGCTCCTAAAAAACGACCTACAGGCCTTTGTCCAGTGGCGCTACGCATGACGCCTTTTTCTCTCCTGGCATAAATGCTCAATCATAGTGGTTGGCGACGACCACAAACCTCACTTAAGTATTGACAGTCACGACATAAATGTGCCTGGGGTTATTAAATATCTGGGCGTATCATACTCCAAGAGCCTCAATCTTTTGGAGCACTGCGCCCTGATAGTCTCCAAAGAACGTAAAACGACCGGGTTTATCCTCCGAAATCTTAAAACCAGCGATGTTAGAATGCACATTTATAAAATTGTGTTAGACCTGGCCTGAAATACTGTTTATTTTTATTTAGCCTCATGCGTGCTGCTGACCGAAAGAAAATAGAATTTGTCTAATTTTTTACCAAAGGAGTTTTAACCGCAGAACACCGACATTTGTCTTACCAAGAACGCTGCCGGTTTAGAGGCTTTGATCCTTTATGGTTTCATCGATTACCAAAGGAACTATTTTTACTATATACGCCTTTATATAATCGAACCTTTAACCCACTCACTGCTGTAGGACATCTTTTCTACCCCCGACGTAACAGTCACCGTGAGGTCTTTTTATTTTTTCCTCTGGCACGTACTGTTAAATATAGAGGGTTCTATTCTGTAAATGCAATTGCTATTTGGAATACACTACTCAGGAATGTGAAGACTCTGCAAAATTATCCTTTGTTTAATGTCCATACTTAGAGCTATATCATGTAGAATTTTGTAAATTTTTAATTTGTTTCACAACACTTTCTTGTACATCTGACTTTCCTGTAAATTTGTTTGACTAAACGGAAATACACAGTAACAACTCTGCGGCGGTCAACGTGTGTTCTGGTTTCGAGTGTGCGTGATGTCGTTATTTCTTGGCCTTCGCTTGTAACCTCTCAACATTCTTAAGCAATTCGTATTAGCTGACGGATATTCCCTCCTCACAAGCCTACTTCACCATATCATCGCGGAACCGACTGCCTCTATTCAACCGAAAACTATTCAACGGAATACTATCTCGCCACTTGAGAGGATTCTACTTTGCGTGAGTCTGGAACATTCCTTTTCTGATTCTTCGAATCTGTACATCCTCTTCTTTTGTTGGTAAACACAACTACCCATTTGGAATTAGTTTTTCCTGTATATATTACATTTTGTAGTTTTTAAGTCCACGTTTCCACTAGAAAATTGGTGACCCCACTTTTTCCTGCATACCGAACCTTTTTTAAATTACCATGACCAGTAACGACTCCCAAAAAGACTCACTCGATATTAACACCCCTTCTTTTAAACTGCCACCGTTTACACCGAGCAATCCTCGCGTTTGGTTTAGGCAGATCGAGGCTCTTTTTGCGACAAGCCGCATTACTAGAGAGCGTGCCCGCTATTCGTACGTTTTGCAGTCCTTCCCATTTGATGTAGCTGTCACCGTCGAAGACCTCCATGACCCCATTGCAGCCGACGAACCGTATACGCGGCTGAAGGAAGCGGTAATCCAACGTGTGGCTAAATCGACCAACCGTATGCTGCGGGAACTTTTCACGCAAGTAGAGCTAGGTGATCAGACTCCTTCCCAGCTCGTGCGTCACATGCGCTCACTTCTCACTGGTAGGCACAGGGAAGACGCCATTTTTCGCAAGGTTTGGTTAGAAAAGTTACCGCTGCCAATGCAACAGGTTTTGGCTATGTTAGACTCGAATACACACTTAGAGAAACTAGCTACCCACGCTGACAGCATCAAAGAGTGTTACCCTATTGGTGCCTCGTGTTCCAATATTCAACAGCCCCCGCCTTCCAAAGGCAAGCCCCACCAGGGAATTGCCCTTGATTCAGAAGGCCCAGCATTATCAGAGCACGACACTCCCTATACGGAAAAAGCACCGTGCTGTTGCACAGCCCGACGAGCGCCCACATCAGCCGGTCCTCCCAGAACACCCATCGACGCTTATTGCACCGATTACGACGACCTAAGAGGCACTGTGTGCCTCCTTTGCACTCAGGTGAGCAACATGTTCTCTGTTCTTCACAGTTTTCAATCGGCTAGAAATCAGCCATACTCACATCGTCGGTCTAAATCCCGTTAGCGGCGTTCACAACCCTTATGTTGGTATCATCGCACTTATGGCCCGAAAGCCCGAAAGTGCATACCTCCTTGTTCGTTCGCTCGTCCTTCACAGTTAAACGACCATGCCAGCCAGTAATGGCGACGACTGCTGCTGGCCCGTCGCGACCCAGTCGCCTTTTCTATATCAACGACAAGTCGAGCGGCCCCCGTTTCCTTGTTGATACCGGTGCCGAGGTCAGTGTCATCCCACCTCCAAGGCGTCACCGCCTCAAGCCTTCGTAATTTTCATTGCAGGCTGCAAATAGCACCACAATCAGCACCTACGGCCAACGGTCCCTCACTTTAGATCTTGGTCTCCGGCGACGTTTTCAATGGGTCTTTATTGAGGCTGACGTCAAATTGCCTACTATCGAGGCCGACTTTTTGTTATCTTTCGGCTTAACAGTCGATGTCAGACACCGTCGCCTCACAGACACAACCACCCAACTCTTTACCATAGGTTCTATTAGCTCTGAACGTTCGGTTAGCATTCATATCACCATCCCCAGCGTCCCTTTCGCTGACGTTTTGAAGGACTACCCGTCCACCACTAAACCATGTCATTTTACCGAAACCGTTGAACACGGAGTGAAACACCACATTGTCACGGCAGGGCAACCAGTGCACGCTCGTCCGCGTTGACTCCACCCTGAGAAGCTCCGAATAGCAAAGAACGAATTTGAACATATGATGAATCTGGGCATTATACGCCTTTCATCTAGCCCATGGGCCTCACCACTGCACATGGTGCCAAAGAATTCATCTGACGATTGGAGACCGTGCGGTGATTATCCAGCCCTAAACAGGTCCACAATTCCTGACCGGCACCCCATTGCCCACATTCATGACTTTTTCCACATGTTAGCCGGTAAAACTATTTTTTCCAAGATAGACCTCGTCAGGGCGTACCACCAAATCCCGGTCGCTGAGGAAGATACCCAAAAGACCGCTATCACGGTACTCTTTGGGCTGCTCGAATTTATTCGCATGCCTTTTGGTTTGCGCAATGCTGCCCAGTCGTTTCAGCGCTTTATCGATGAGATCTTGCGGAGCCTTCCATTCGCTTACGCCTACATCGACGAAATACTCGTCGCAAGCTCTTCGGCAGAGGAACATGCCTCGCATTTACGCCTCCTATTCGATCGTTTCCAGCGACACGGTTTGCAATTAAACATCGAAAAATGCGTTTTGACGTTAATTCTCTCGATTTCCTTGGCCATCACGTTGATCAGCACGGAAGCACTCCACTTACAGGGAAGGTGCAATGCATCTTGTCTTTCCCTGTTCCCAACACACTCACTCAGCTGCGACGTTTTATAGGCCTTATCAACTATTACAGACGTTTTATTCCCCATTGTGCGGCAATCCTGGCTCCCTTAATTAACCTTTTGAAGTCGAAAGCAATACCTAATGAACTTTCATCGGCAGCCCATACAGCTTTTTAGGAAGCGAAGAAGGCTCTTGCCGATGCCACCATCCTGCACCACCTCAACTCTGACGCTCATGCACAGCTCATTTTGACCACCGACGCTTCCATCACTGCTGTCGACAAAGTCTTGCATCAACAGTTGAATAATCAGTTGCAGCCTTTAGCTTTCTTTTCACAGAAGCTAAAACCGGCACAGACTCGCTACAGTACTTTCTCTCGCGAGCTCCTTGCCATCCACTTGGCCATACGCCACTTTCGACACCTTTTAGAGGGCAGAGACTTTTCGGTCCACACCGACCACAAACCTCTCACTTACGCCCTCAAGGCCAAGCCAGATCGGTACTCGCCCAGGGAAGTTCGCCACCTGGACTATATATCGCAGTTTACTGCAGTTGTCCGCTACATCCGAGGCAGCGACAATGTAGTTGCTAATGCATTATCCCGTCCGGACATCAACACACTCACATCCGGTTTCGACCTGGCGAAGCTCGCAGACCTCCAAACAGCAGACGAGTCCATCGCGGACTAACGTACGTCTACTACTCTGCAGCTTCGAGATGCACCACTTCCTGCGTCACCAGGTACGATTTTGTGCGATTGGTCCACAGGCACCCCTCGTCCTGTTGTTCCACTACCCTATCGTAAGGTCGTTTTTGACAGCTTTCAATCCCTCTCCCACCCTGGCATTCGCGCCGGGCGTAAGTTAGTTGCGGCTCGTTTTGTTTGGACGAAGATGAATTCCGACATTGCTCACTGGACCAAACAGTGTCTTGCATGCCAGAAGAACAAGGTGCATCGACACACCTTCTCCCCGCCAAGTACCTTTGCAGTCTCGGACGTTCGATTTAATCACGTTCACTTGGATTTTATCGGACCGTTACCCCCTTCAGGCGGGTACACACATATCCTGATGGCAGTTGACCGTTTAACACGATGGCCGATTGCCGTTACTATCTCGGATACCTTGGCAGAAAATATCGCCATGGTTTTTCTGACCCACTGGATCTCAACTTTTGGTGTTCCAGCCACGCTTACCACTGACCACGGAAGTCAATTCCAATCTAGCCTTTTCCGTGAGTTCACTAGACTGCTCGGGTATGCGCACATCACAACCACGGCATACCATCCTGCCTCCAACGGCCTCGCTGAGCGTCTACACCGCCAAATCAAGTCTGCACTGATGTCCCAAACAGAGTCAGCTACTTGGAGTGTCAATCTGCCTCTTGTGCTTTTGGGCATCCGGTCTTCTGTCAAGGAGGACATCCAATGCACTGCCGCCGAACTTGTGTACGGTACACCCCTCTGTCTGCCCGGCGAATTCGTGCAGCCTTCCACGACAAACACTAACATCCCGAGCATCTTCGTGCAGCAATTGAAACAACGCATGGCTTAACTGCGTCCAACCCCCACTCGTCTGACATCGACAAATGTGTTTGTACAGCAGGACCTTAAATTTGCCCCCTTTATTTTCGTCCGGCATGACGGAGTGCGCAAGCCACTTTCTCCTCCCTACGATGGCCCATATAAGGTCGTTCAGCGGAGAGACAAGTTTTACGTCATTCAGAAGGCTGATAAGACTGACACGGTCTCCATTGACCGCCTTAAGCCAGCCTATCTGAAGTGCCTCTTGTCGACCAGTGCGCCATCCATTCCCCCTACTATGTCCTCACCCGATACACCCACTCCGCTCACCTACCCTCCGTCACTACACTTGACCATTCTACCCATCCAACCGGATCTTCCTCCTACACTACCGCCCATTTCATCTCGTTCCGGTAGAGATATCCGTTTTCCCGCCAAACTTAAAGACTTTGTAGTGTAATTTTTTTTCTTTTTCCGTTTTATTTTATCGAGCGTTTTGTTTCTTTGGCAAACGCTCTGGTAGGGGGAGTTGTGTTGGCTTTTGTACATTTTTAATTTGTTTCACTACACTTTCTTGTACATCTGAATATCCTGTACATTTGTTTAACTAAACGGAAATATACAGTAACAACTCTGCGGCGGTCAACGTGTGTTATGGTTTCGAGTGTGCGTGATGTCGTTATTTCTTGGCTTTCGCTTGTAACCTCTCAACATTCTTAAGCAATTCGTATGAGCTGACGGAGATTCCCTCCTCACACGCCTACTTCACCATATCATCGCGGAACCGACTGCCTCTATTCAACCGAATACTATTCAACGGAATACTATCTCGCAACTTGAGAGGATTCTACTTTGCGTGAGTCTGGAACATTCCTTTTCTGATTCTTCGAATCTGTACATCCTCTTCTTTTGTTGGTAAACACAATTACCCATTTAGAGTTAGTTTTTCCTGTATATATTACATTTTGTAGTTTTTAAGTCCACGTTTCAACTACAATCATAAATACGGTCTTTGACCCCTCTGGATCAGAAGACTCCAAAATAGTCTAGACTTCGTATTTAAGGTCACCCATGAGCTAGATTTTCTCAAAGCGAATTAACGAATAAACCAAAACGTCCACAGAAAAACCAGAATAAATAAATAATTTTTACTAAAGACTCGTCGGGGTCACATCAAAGCAAGTACAATGAGTTACTTAACTCATGAAATTTAATTTAATTTAAGTTTTCAAATGCCAGTTTACAGGCATTGTCAAGGCTGGAATTCTGAAATGCGTTTTCACTTAGGAAGGATTACTTGGTCGCGGTTGTAATACTGACTATCTTGCGGCATACTCTTATAACATGCACCTTACAGACTGAACTTACTAACCGCTAATGCAACGAATGATGAGCCTCCAAATTATTCGGCAATTGGGAAACGTTTTTAAAACCTAATTATACTCTTAACTTAAGTATAAAATATAAGGAATATGTTATTCTCTATTGATTGACTAAGAGAAATCATATTTTTATCTATGGTTTCTATAAAATATCTTTGAATTTGCTAGAACATTGAAAATCAATGGGAAAAATGTATGCCACTTAAGTAGTCATTTTTTTACCAAATAAGCTTCCTACAGGAGATTAAAAAGAAGTGCATTTAAAAGACGACATCCTGCCAAGTCCGAAATGTTATAAGAGTATGCCGTAAGATAGTCAGTATTACAACCGCGGCCAAGTAATCCTTCCTAATCGTAAACGCATTTCAGAATTTCAGCCAACATTTCATGAGATAGGTCACTCACTGTAAAAATAAATTTCCTTATGAATTTTGGACGAGGTAGGTAGAATCTGTACAAAATGCGATTCATAGTTTTAGAATTTGCAGTCTGTTAAGAAAAATGATGAGCGAGCAGTGAAAAAAACTCCATTTAATAATTCGAAAATGATTGGATTAATTTTACAGGAGAAAAGAACGGTCGCTCAAAATAATATAAAAATGCGGACAGGAATGTGCTGCATGCGGCAGAACATAATGGATTATAATGGATCAAACATCGTCAGGGCAGAAATAAATGTCAGCCTTGAGGGGTACGTACGAGGGTCGAAAAGGACTGGTCTGAATGCGGTATTGCATACGAGATTCAGAACGGACATCGTTAGGGCAGAATTTATACGCCGAATAAGACTATTCACGTCAAAGTTGCCAGATAAGAGGAACACTGACGCGATCGGCCACAGTCCACTTCGCGCCCAGCCGAAGAGTGGGCAAGGGAGGTACGACCAAACTATTAGTAGACGGAAAAATTCAGAAAGTTCCACCATGAGCGTCGACAGACAGCTTGACGTCAAATGAGGGTGATGTCATTAAGAACCGCAAAAATCGTCGCTATGGGGGAGAAGGGCAAACAGTGGACTTAGGGACAAATTAAAAACAAAGGCCTTGCAAAGATATAAATGAATGTTTGCACTTGATCTAACACTAAATTCCAGGAAGACCCTTCTCGAACTCAAGAAGCTGAGCGTTCGGGAAGAAGACGGTTCAAAGTGCCTTTATACTTTCCAGGGTAAGGTGTTTGAGTAAATAGGATTTGAATACGGATAACATAGGTGATGTCCTAATTTCTGGCGGAAGATTATTCCAAAGGATGTCATATTCGAAAGCAAAAAGAGGGAGCATTTATATGAAGTGCAAAGAGGCGACGGAATCACCATGGAGTAGTTGCGCGTGACATAAGACCGATCACTCGGAGTGAGAGTGTCAATGAGCGGAAGATTAGAGCTAGAGTTTATGTGAAAAAGGAAGCAAAGGCCAGCTTCGAGTCTTCTAACACACAAACGCTTAATGTTCGCCAGCGGTCATGTCTGAGTATAAGAAGTGCCGGGCGCTACTTGAGAGAACAGTTTCCGAGTGAAAACTCTCTAAACATTTTCGATCTTATAGCGGTCGCATTAAACCAAAAAGGGCAGCAGTATTGGAAGACAGGACGAACAAACATTTGATAGTCTTAGCTTTATTTCCGGAAGGAAAAAATGTGAGATACGCATTCACATGTCTGCGCGGCTTTGGCATAGATTCAATCTGCATGAGGTGATAAAGCAAGGTCCTTGATGGTAAAGTGTTCTGAGAGTGGGTTATTCTGAAAAATTGTGGGACTAGGAAATTCGGTAGGACCAAAGTACATAAAACTACACTTGGATGATGAAAACTCCATCTGCCATATGGAACCCATCTGCTTAAGCGGAGTAGATCGGCATAGATTATTTTCAAATCACACATTTACGGTGTCCTTAGAATATGAGTAAACACAATTGAGGTCATCGGCATAAATGTAAGTTTGCGAATTTCCCAGTTCAGTCGAAATATGACTGATGTAAAGAAGTACCCGCTTGAGTGAAACGCCATCAGAGGCTCTTTTGAAGTCAGTGCAATCGACAGCGTCTCTTGTGTCTTTATCTAAGCATCGGGATTACTGCTCCATTGAATTGATGGCTGCCACTTTTCGCTATTTGTTTAAACTGTGTGCAGACTCTGCTCTCCCATACTGACACGTTGACCAACTTTGTCTTCTCGGAATGATCTGGGACTTTTCTACGTTTTCTGAGATTTCTTTTGGTCGTTCTTTTTTCCCCACAAGCCACTGACTCTCTGTAGACTTACTGCTCTTTCTCAGGAGTGGATACAGTCAAGGAAGCCATAACAACGTCCAGTAGGCAGGAATATTGAAAAAGGAAAGTCTGGCGTAGGTCAAAATTTCGAACCAAATTTGGAGCATGTGCCCGCCCATCTCCTTCATGTATATGAGCCTTTTTGTGTTACCTTTAAATGGTTAAAGGCTGCTTGTTTTCCGAAGATTTTTATAGATTTAAGCATTTCCTGAAGCGTCAATTCTTCCACTTTTCCGTTTCACCGTTTTTCTAAATATCCTTTGATTTGATACCATCCACCATATCTTCTTTTCTATTTTCGACTTCCCTATAAAACCGAAGCACCAACGAATACAGACCTTCGACTGTCCACCTTCATAACCCAGTAACCGGACCGTTTGCCCATTCAATAGGTGTCAGATAGCCAGCACTGTGTGATTTCGGCTACAGGCTTGTAGCCCTTTGCATAAGACGCATCCTGTTGGAGGGGAGGTTTTGTGCTGAGTCGATTTGTACGCCTCAGATCTACGAGGTATTCAGAAGTCTTCCAAAAATGTGAAGTTAGAGTAACCTTAAAGGAAAGTGACGATTCTAACGTGCTAATATACTAGAAGCCTGGATGGTTCATCCTGAATATTTAAAACACTGTTTTGTTTAAATAGGTTGAAAACAAATGTTATGAAGCAAATTCACCAATCGTTGCATCGATTTCCATGTTTGTCCCGTCCGGGCTGTTGATTTTTTATTCAATGTGTTTCTGCAGTTTCTCGCATTGTTTCTGATTATTGAATCGTTCGAAACGCCTTTATTGTGTCTTCCTTCACGCAGGGCCTTCGCAACCGATCGGCTCGAGCTATTTCTCGCGCGTTTCTCTTGCCACCCAGTGGCGACCAGAGAGCTCGAATAATGCTTATATGACTATCATGGACTCTGTATCTATTCCGTACTATGGTTATTCTGATATATTTTGAGATGGAGACACCTAGACTAGCTTGTTGCATTTGTAATCCGAACTTACTGGGTTAGGGTTTGGGCGAATAAGCCGCAATGAAGTCCATGGCGGGTCTTGTGGACCATATGAAACAACCAAGAAAAACCATGTTGCGAAGGATTATCTGCCTTTCTAACGCAATACTATGCAAAACCTAAAATTTCGTGTAAATTTGCGGGCTATATAGCAGACGAGTTTTACGTAGTGTACCGTCAACTGGAGCGAGTTTTCTGAAATCGTCGTCGTAGCGCAACTTGCATGCAGGTCTTTAGAAGAACGTCCTGGTTAATTTGTGAGAGTTAAGATGGCTCAGGGCGTATGGGATAACTTGGCGGTTAGTACGTCTGCTTCTAAGTTTGTTCGCTTTTATTCCGGCCGCATATACACACAGGCTTCCTCTGTATTGCGATTTTGATGCCGCCTTCAAGTGGGCGAAAGCTGCTGGCCGCCTGCAATGTTTGTGTTTGTGCACTGTTTTTGTGTACTCTATTTTGCCGCTTCTTTCGCACATGGTCTTCCTTCCACTTCTGTTTTCTGTCCTTCGCTCCTTATCACTCACTTGCGGCTTCACCGTTAGCACTCCCCTTGCACCCTTTGGCGTTGCGGTTTGGTTTTCTACCGGTTGCCTGATCCGTATTCTTATGCGGATTCCTGTGAAATGCTATTGGAATCTTCCAGTTTACGAATTTTCGGATAACTACCTTGGTGTGCTTACATCTTTGTTGCTCGTGATTAATTTGACCCTTTCTACTTGGCGTAGCATGAATTAGTGTTGTGTCAACGCCGGTCTCTGATGATGCACATGCTAGATTAGGTTCTCAATTATTTCTCTTAATTTCAATAAGTCATCTGCACACAGGCTGGTCACTCACGGGGGGTACACAGGTCTGCGACCGTCCACGTAGATGTGCAGATGCTCAGAAAAGCGGCATCCCCCTGGATTCTGGTGAGCTGCTGTGAAACGGGACATTCCAAACGGATCCGGCGTTTTTTCTAATACATGAATCGGTGAACCCAGCGGCTAAGCGGACGAGCATTAAATCATGACCGTTGTAAATGCGTGTACAAAAGGACCCTATCTTTTTTTCACTGATACCAGACTGAACCAGCCGTTCGGACACAGGATGTCTTTCGATCTTCCCGTTCTCAAACCCGATACAATCGAAGAGGTTTTCTCTGATAAGTGTCAGCGAATCAACTTGGATTATTACAGCCTCTACCACTTTGATGAACTGACGATTGATGACCGCAAGTACCAGTATCGTCTCTCCTCCAACGGCGACTTTATGACTGTGGTGGGTACCTTCAATGGCCAGTCTGTCCTCATGGTCTCAGTGTGGACGAAAATGGACCATCAAAAGCGACTGCGAGAGATCCATCAGTGCATTTTGAAGAAGGAGATGCAGGGCGACACTCTGCCATAAGCTTATGCGTATCTTCTAAATAAAAGTGCATTTAACCTCTCTTACGGAGCGAAATGTTTTCTTTGTGAGAATGCGCAAATTTTATGACGCGCCTGTTGAGCTTAGTGAAGACACGGACCTTGTGTTCCCTAATTTATACGCAGAGATTTTCGACAAGACGTTTGATTTCTCTGGAATTTGTAAGCCTGAACGTTTTTTGTAGTTTGGCGATTTAAAGCCATCAAAGACAGGCCGCAAGTCGGAGAACCGAGGTCTAAATGAATTCCGATCGTTGAAGGGTATGCTGGAGTCCAAAACGCCAAATACGGACCCTCATTAGCTTATGCTCTCCGTTACCTGATTGCCCTACGCCCTGCGACTAGCAGCAAGGACCCTAGTTTTGATTTCTATACATCATGCTGACGATGTTCCCCCTAACATTTCGTGCGAAATAAGTGTGCGACTCCCACCAATTGACAAAAGTTGAGGCGCCTTGCACTGAATACCATCTCTGTATTGCTGAGAAGGGAAAAATCGAAAACAGTGCGCAAGACTAAAGCAACTCGAGAGATTTTGCTCGCGCCCTGGAGCAGTGGCTTTAATAACAAAATCAAACACTTGGTTTAACGCACATTCGGTAGAATGAGGGCGGTGGTGTTCGAGAAGAGTTTAGAAACCCAACCACTTGATCTAGAGCAGCCAAGGTTGTTCTTGTTGCGAAAAAATCAGTCTGGATAGTAGTAGGATGGACACGTTCTTTTTAATTCGCATTTTAGTGAGCATAGATCGGGGATTATCTTAGTCGATATTAAGAATTCTCGTTAATGACAAAACGTCATGGTGGTGTGTAGTCACAGGGTCGTGTACTGTAGATGATGTTCAAAATGAATTCCATTAGCAGACCGATCTTAAAAAAGGACATTTTCAAGTTGGCGATGCGTCTTGTATTGATCTATTGTATCTTCTTAGCCGAATTGCATTTATCTGTAGTAGGGACCTCGTAACTAGTCGAAAACCGTATATATAAAAGTGAACACCAACTCGCAAGGGAACCGCAGCGGTATAAGTCAAGTCAAGCTCGGTGTAAATGCCCTTACTATTGTCATTCGGACCTTTTCATGACGCATAATGCAACGTGGCGACCCACCCGAGCTGGGCCACGAGTTGGATTTGTATGAGCTGATCCAGCGCTCACACTGCAACCCATCCTAGAATTTTGATATGGCCGCAGTCAGCGGATGGACGTCTGTTTCGTTGGCAAAGTCCCATGTAAGACTTCGTTCACAATGTTTTGGTCAATCTTCCCTTGCTTTAATATATGCGGTTGGGTGTTTAGCAGTGGTGCATCTTGTCATCGCACTATGGTAATTAACTCGATTCTCAAGCAGGCCTTGCGCAATTTTAATTGTCAAACTTTCGCACCGACCATACTTTCTTGTTAAAACCAGGTTTTGATTGTGTTCAGACTTCATCATATCGGGTGAACGCTGTCTCTAAAACTCTAAAGCTCCCCCTAGACTTAATACCCACCATATAACCCAACATTGATCCTATGCCTAATACCTTAACCTAACCCGGAAAAAATCTGGGCAATTTCCAGTGGGATATCGGCAAGTCTATCTCACCCGATCTCTACACGGTCTCCCGTCTCTTTTTCGGTAGCACTTTTCGAAGTATTTCAAAAATATACGTCAACTTTCAAAGGTATAAATCTTGAAATCTTTCCGGTCGAGGTGCTTAGCTAGCAGAGTTGGGACAACATCGTATTTAAAGAAAATATGGTTTCACAAGTCATCGACGGTGCTTTTGAATCTACTCGCGGTCTCACAATCTACATAAACATTTACAAGGGTCGGGGAGCCGTCCGGTACGTTTTTCTATGGTTGTGAATTCCGGACTTTGAGCGTAAAAGACGATTTTCGACAAACGCTGACTGAGAACGACCAGCTAGTGGAACACACCGCCTTCGTCTCGAATTAGCCAATCCGCATTCACTGTGCTGTCGTTGAGAGACCATATCCAGCCGTCCGTGAAGGGTGGCCGATGTGCTTCGAACAAGTTCATCATCCATTAGACAAGTTCAGTGTTACCGCCATAAATCCATTGTCGTTACTATATGAATTCGACAAAAAGGTCAGCTCAAAACCTGGCTCTACTCGGTTGGTTCATGTACTGAGGCGACTCCGGAGCCTGCAGCGTTTAGTCTTCATCGCATAGTTCTTCAGATTAGCTGTCAGAAGTCGTTGCTCGTGGAGAGGCATAAGATGGGGCATAACCGGAGTTGACGCGACCAGTTGTGATCACGCCTCTATCAAGTACATCAGCGGATTGACTTTGATCCATGAGTTCGGTGGCGCCACAGGGGGTAGTTAGAATCCTCGTCGACTGCTGTATCGTTCTATCATTATTTGCCCCGCATTTCGCTCTGCCTATCACCGACCTCGCTACTCGTAATCCGAGCTACAGTCCTGACATCGGGTACTTCGAACCAGCTGAATGAATTTTTACACATAATCAACGATGTGTCTGTGGTGGATCATTAAAGCGCGGCAACCTAAGCACAAGGCTGCGCTAACGTGTGTGTGCCACAGTAAGTCTAACGAACATTAGTCATACTGTTCGTTACAACTATCCATGCAAACAGGCATAGTCTTTCTTCACCGATGTGTCATGTCTAGAGCAAACAGTCACGGACACGGGATGTCTTTGGACTTACCTGAGGCCAAACCGGACACCATGGAGGAAATTTTCTCCGACAAGTGTCAGCGCATCAATCTGGACCACTACAGCATCTACCACTTTGATGAATTAGTGATTGACGACCGCAAGTACCAGTATCGTCTCTCCTCCAAGGGCGATGTCATGACTTTGGTGGGTACTCTGAATGGTCAGTCCATCCTCATGGTCTCAGTGTGGACAAATATGGATCATGAAAACCGACTGCGGGAAATCCATCAATACATATTGCAGAGGGAGGCGCAGGGTGACCTTCCCAACGCTGATGGAAAGGGTAAGCGCCCTAATCTACAACCCAGATTCCTTGCCTTGCTTTTTTGTATCTTGACGGTTCATGCTTCTTCACTACTGCTATTACAACTGCCAGGGTAATATCAAAGTCGCCGTCTGAGTGTCCCATGCAGCGTATTTTTCCAGCTTTTTTTGAATTCGCACGGAGTGAAAACGTCATTGAACTGACATGTGGCGGGTTAACTAGTACGAGATTGTATCATGTCGGTCTCATTCGCATAGCCAGAAAAGTGTGCTCTGCTCCGCTCTTTATCTTACCGATAGACCTATTTCTTTTAAACCTAGACTGGGATTGGAGGCAACCATGTGGGGGTAATAGAAAACTTATCTAAAGCAGACTACTTTGGAGTTTCCGCTGTCGTCGCGCGGGTATCCCTCCGCCTTGGGTGGTGATGCATCAAAAAGCCATTCTGGGCATCCATCTCGTGGATACTGCCCGGCTGTGCGGTATATCCATGCAGAACTTCACGACACGGGAGTAGGTGATGGTAAGTCAGTAGTATGGGATAGAGGACGGCCACTGCGAAACATCAGCCGGCCAGACGCAGGCGGGCCCAGCCGCGGGTTTTTACCAAGTGTCCTATCCTCTGGGCGACTGCAGCCACGTCTGCCAGTCAAGCCGGCTCATCGATATTTGCTTCACAGTCTGTGCTTCTTTTAAGTCTAGGTGACTGTTCCGTCAACGATTAGAAGACAAGTCCTGCAACCCGAATGTTTAGTAAGATAACTTATTAAAAATAAGTAATAGTCAGATTTTTTGGCTGGCCTTTTGCCTGTGCAATCATCGTTAGTAACTTTGCGTAGTTTGGTCCGGGTTGGAGTCTGTAGTAGTGTCGACTATTGTTTTCTGGGTGGTTTTTTACATTTGCTTCATATTCAGACCAGACACCTTTCTGTACTTTGCACAATTCTGGGGTAGACTATATTGGCTGCTGTCTCCGCACTTGGTGCCTAGCCTAGCCTTCTGACTTTTTCGTTTATTGCAGAAGCTGCTGGCACCTTCCATGGATTTGTACTCAATCGGATGTACTGAGATCGGCATCCCGTTGTGTAATATTCACTGCCAGTGAGTGTTCTCTTAAGTTTCTTGTCTTCGTACCTATATTTTCCATTTAAATCGCTGGATTCCTCGGTGGTTTGGTCCCCTCGCAAACCGTCTGCTCGATTTTCTTCGTGAAATTATGTCTTTACCGTAGACACCACTACCACTACCACTACCACCACCACCACCACCACCACCACCACCACCACCACCACCACCAACAACAACAACATCAACAACAACAACAACATCGATTAGGAATATAGTGGACAAGTTCAGGAAGAAAGTTTGTGCAAATTCACTATGGTAACAAGTATCTTTGAGCACTTGAAGTGAAAATCCCCTTGGTACTCGGTCACGACCGCCCATGTTCATTAGTTTAGCCAGAAATTCACTGGCCGTCAGCTTGTAGAACCAAAATCCAGTGAAGGAGAATTCGCGACTGACATTCTGCACGCAGATACTGTCGGCAGTTAATGAATATTGCGCGCCTATCCCGCTGTGGCTGACGGACATCAGTTTAAGTATTCATACCTCAAATTTCGGTCTGCGCCAATAGACGTTAGTTCAAACTAGTTCACTTCAAGCTAACGGTTGATTTCTGAGGTTATTAAAAAGCAACAAACTCTCTTCCGCTGACCAAATAAGCACTCCATATGGGCACAATCAGCTTCATCGACCGATAGTTTTGTCTCTCGAATGCGACCCTGGCCATTTCTAGTCTAGAAGGACAGTACTGACATGGGTGTCAGTTGGATTACGGTATAGGAGACTTTATTAGCGTCTACATGACTCGCCTCCCCCCCAGAGCCGCCAGTTTCCAACAGCGAGCGTGGGGGCAGGGTCACATCACGGCTAGTTCTCTCCTATCGATCGAGTCGAACTTTGCACGCAACTTCACGTCAATCGAAGGTTCTGTCAGGATGTGACTGCTATGCACGTCCCAGCTTCTCGCAGCTCCATCTTGGATCTGAGTTTCAGCCGGGGTCAGGTCGAATTGACCACATCGTGCTGCTAGTGCGACTGTCATTCCATGGAGATTTCTGACTGTTCCTAATTATACTCGGTACGACCGCGAAATTATGCCTGATCATGTCAGCCTCGTTGGTGTCGCGAATTGTTTATGTGGTACTCCGTACCAGTGTATCTATAGAGTTCGACCCAGCGAAGGAGCCCAAACAGCGAAGATGCAGGAACCACTCCTGTGTGTTAACGGGTTGTGTTTTGGCAGGTTTTCGAGCTGATTCTTTTTATCAGACGGATGTCCAGTACACGCGGATCTTGTAGGGATTGAGATATCGCCTCGGGTGCATGCAGACTTCTCAAGTATTGTGGAAACCCTGCAAACAGCAGCGATTCGGCAGACGATGTCATCCTTGTTCTGTTCACTCGGCAGTTGTCTCTTTCGGAGGTGTTTGAAACCGTCCACCCGTTCCTGTCAGCACAGTCATTTATTCCGAGGGGCGACTTCTTCCGGTCAGGGATGCAGTCTGACAAAACCTTGGCCTTTTCAGCGACTGATTTAGCGACCTCTTTTACCCATGACACCACAAACTGTAGACCACCAAAGCTGAAGACTAACAGGGCGATACCCTAAACGTAGTTGAGGTAAGCCAGTCGTCATACGGGTGCGCTTTGGACACTTGTGTCGGTCCATTCAGCGGCAACAGACTGAAACCTTGTCGATAGCCAGACAGAATAAAGAACGACTGGGAGGGATTGTTTTGAACCAGGACTTACGAAATGGTAGGCCCTGATCACGGCGATGGCCTTGGTCATCCTACTGCCCCAGGGAGTCACAGTAGACGGGGTCGATTGATGCGATGAAGTCTACAAAGTCGTCGGTCGATTGTAGCCCCAGCGGAGTCCAAAGATGCACATTTGACTGGGAACCTACAGTTGGTGAGCTAACTCATGAGGTATGCCTAATCTGACAAAAAATCACAAACAAATTTGGAACCGGTCTAAACGCACTCACCACATCAAGCTAACAATAAGCAACCTCCAGTTAGATAAGGACACAGAATAAACATTACTGGTATCATTTCGTTAATGACAAAGAGCAACTTTTTCGAATAAAGTGCAAATGCCGGAAACGCGAAAATTCGTGTCACGTAAGCAGACTCAAATTTTAAAAGCATGCGGTGCTTGCCCATGCAAAAAATTAAGTAAAATGGTATAACAGCAGTGGTATTTCAGTAGATGGAAGCAATGTTTTCCCGGAATAAATTTGAATAAAGCAAAGGCGACAAAGCATGCAGCATTTACTGACGTCATAAATTTCGAGACTTCTCATTCAGCTGCGTACGGTCATTGCATAGTTATATGACAAGGCAAACTGTTCAATCAACGATCTAGGGAGATAAAACGTGATAGGTAACCTGAAACATGCGTCTATTATGCGAGTGC